AGCCGCGACTTCTCGCCGCTCGACATCCTGCTGGGCGGCTTCGTGAACGGGAGCCTGGAGTTCACGCCGGGCGAGTACCAGGACTACTCGTCGACGAACTACATCCTCCTCGGCTTGGTCGCGGCGCGGTACGACGCGCCCGACGTCACAGATCCCTACGAAGCCTGGAAGGCCTTCGACCAGGCCGCCGCGGCCAAGGGCACGCTCTCCAAGGCGTCGAAATTCGTCGACGCGGGCCCCTGCGACGCGTTCACGCCCGTCAAGGGCTTCATGGAGCGGCGCCGGGGCCCCACGATCGAGGTCTCGGACGTCTCCTGCGTCGGCGGGTGGTCCGCGGGCAACCTCGTGGGCCCGGTCCGCGACGTCGCCAAGTTCACGCAGGCGCTCTACGGCCTCGAGGGCATCGTCACGAACGCGTCGCTGGCCGACATGACCTACTGGGGCGATGGCCGCTTCGCGTGGTACGGCGCGGGCACCTTCGACCTCGCGTTCTCCGTCGGCGGCAACGTCAGGGCCGTGGGCCACGTCGGCGACACCTACGGCTACCAGTCCCAGGCGACCTACTTCCCGGACTACGGCTTCACGCTGGCCGTCGCGACGAACGCGGAGATGGAGGCCCAGGCGCAGCCGGGCGACGCGACGTGCGTCGGCTTCCACGCCGTCCTCGCCGCGCTCGGCCTCGGGCCGCGGCTCGAGTGCGCCTTCGTCGTGCCCCGGGGCCGCCGCTTCATGGGCACCTGCGAGTGCAAGAACGCGACGGCGCTCCCGTAGGCCGCCGTTTGTTTTAAAACCGCACTTACTACAGCGGCGACGGTCCTTAGCCGTAGTCGAGCACCGCGGCGGCGTCGAGCGCGCGCATCGCGCAGCCGCGCGCGCACGCGCTCATGAGCAGCGTCGAGCTCGACTGGCGGTCGTCGCCGAAGACGGCGCTGTTGTCGCGGATCTGGGCGCCCAGCGTCATGGCGACGTGGAGGTGGCGCGAGAAGAGGGCGACGAGGTCGCGCCAGGCGACGCCGCTCCGCTCGAGCTTCGCGACGCGCGCGTCGAGCGCCGCGCCCGCGGCCGCGTGGACGCGCGTCTCGAGCGCGAAGGCGCGCGTCGCCTCGACCTTGTCGCGCTCGCAGGTCCAGCGCGCCTTGGCGTAGGCCGACTGGCGCGACGGCGCCGGCTTCGTCGCGTTGCGAGGCGCGTCGCGGTCGTGGTACTTCGCGAGCGGCGGCACGACGTCGCCGAGCGGGAGGCCGTGCGTCAAAGCGAAGGCCACGAGGGACTCGTTGTAGCGCTCC